TTTTTATTTCAAAATAAGAAAATTAAAAAAATATTTTTGTGTGACATGAATTACACAAGGGAATATTTGAGCTATGGATTGGGAGAGGTTTTGATTTTTGAAATAGGAAAAAAAGATGAAGAAATCTAATAAACTATAATGTAGCTACATGAAAATGTACATTTCACAAGTCAAAACTATAGTGGCTTAGTTCAAACCTAAATCAAATATGTACTGCTTATGAGGACTTGGTCAAGTTTTCTTAACCTTATTTGTAAAACATGGGCATTCACCCTTTTGGGTTTTCATGAAGATTAAATGAATTAATTAATATGACATGTTTAAAACAGTACATGGCTCACAGTAATTTCTCTTTAAGTATTAGCTCTTATTTTATTTTTATTGCTGAGGAACTTGTTCTGGCAAATATTTTTCCATGGCATAAACAGTTTGGCATTATATAGCATACCTCAGAGATACTGCAGGTTCAGTTCCAGAACACCACAGTAAAGCAACTATTGTAATAAAACAAGTTGTAATCTTTTTACTGGTGGAGGATTTTGCCTACAGTTTGTAAAAAATACAACATCTGTGACATGCAATAAAGCAAAAGGCAATAAAATGAGGTATAGCTGTACTCACAAACATCAATGGCCTTATGGGCCTGTCTTAAGTCATAATGTATGTCAAAAACAGCAAGGGCTTTAGAGAAATAAAGATAAATATGCCATTACTCATTTCACTGTTAATTATTATTTTGGGCAATCTACTGATTGCTTAAGACTTTTTTTTTACCATCTATTTATTATGCACTATTTTTTTTTATTTAGGTATAATTCACATATAACATTATATTAGTTTCAGGTGTACAACATAATGATTTGATATTTGTATATATTGAGAAATGATCATCACAATAAGTCTAGTTAACATACATCACCTTACATAGTTACAAATTTTTTTCTTGTGGTAAAAACTTAAGATCTGCTCTCTTAGCAACTTTAAAATATACAATACGGTATTATTAACTATAGTCGCCATGCTGTACATTACACCCCCAGGACTTACTTATTTTATAACTGGAAGTTTGTACCTTTTGACTCCCTTCACCCATTTTATGCCTCCCGCTCCCCCTTCTGGTAACAGCCAATCTGTTCTCTATATCTATGAACTTGGGATTTTTTGTTTGTCTGTCTTCTGTTTGTTTAGATTGCATATATAAATGATATCATATGGTATTTGTTATTCTCTGTCTGACATATTTCAAAGGCCTTTCAGTGCCTGTAGCCGGAAGTACAAACTCCTGATTACTAAATGCCCTGCCTGTATTCAGCTCATCTCTAACCTCTCCCCCTTTATACTACCCCCGCTCCTCAAGGTACCCCCATGCTTCTTTGTGTTTGCACATGCTATTTCCAACATTCAGAACTCACTCTCCCTACTTCTTGCCTCTCATTTCCATAATACAATTCATTCCTTACTTTCCCCAAGAAGCCTTCCCTGGCTTCCTCCTCCTGTGTGACCACAGAGCCTGTGACATGGCGTGAAAACCAGCTATCTGACCACCACAATGTCATTAGCTCCTGAAAACAGAGATGGGGCATTTTTTAAGTGTTGTAGCAGGTGTTCGGTAAATGTTCTCTGAATGAATGAATTCATTATCACCTTACATTTAAAAATGACCTACATTTTTTTATTGGAGGTTAAATGAAGAGGCTTAATTTTGGGATAGAAAAAAAATACATCGAAATGTTAACAGTGTTTCAAAGAGGTGGGTTTTGTTGCCTTTTTCCTTCATTTAATCAAGCATCCACCATCAATGGGCCTTGTCCTCTGGTAATGGCACCTCAATTTTTTCCTTTGAAGCTACCTCATCCTGTACAGGACTGCCAGCATGCCCATCGTCCTCTGGCCAGGGGCCAGGCAAGTGATCTGAGCTCAGCCTCTCTCCTGGGAACATGAATCCTGGGCAAAAAAATTTGCAGATGGAGAATGAATGGAGTTGCAGTGTGAGCACATACACTAAAGGAGACCATCTTTTGGCTCTGGCTCCGAACCTGCTGGTCATAAGCCTGTTTTTTCAGATTTTCCTTTGATTCTCTGAGCAAACCAACATCGTTCTAATTCTAGCTTTGCTTTAAATTACTTGGATGCTGTTGATATTGCTAAAAAGTCCTAACTGATACCCTCTTTGTAAGAATACAGTCACTGTATTCTGAATCCTCAACAGCGAGCAGGCACTGCTGGCAGGAGCAGCTAAGGGCATGGACTCCAGGACACACAGACCTGGACTCAGTGCCGCTGCCTGTGTGATCATTAGATGCAGATGAGCTGCCTCATTTCATTCAGCTTCTTTCTTTATCTGACAGATCATAAGAGTACACCGAATCTTGAACAACACAGGTTTGAACTGAGTAGTTCTACTTACATGAGAATTTTTCTCAATAAATACCTGTACTGTTTTGATCCATGGTTGGGAGTCCGTGGATACGAAGGGCCAACTGTATGTATTGATCTATGCCATTTTATATAGGGAACTTGAGCATGTATGGATTTTGATATCCTCAGGGGATAGGGGGTAGTCCTGGAACCAATCTCCCACAGGTACCAAGGGACAACTTAAGTTTTGGGGTAGTCAAAAATAATACACAGATTTTCGACTGCAGGGGTAGGGGAGTTGGTACCCCTAACCCCCACATTGTTCAAGGGTCACTCGTATTTGTATTTCTCAAGGAGCTGCTATAAACCGTAAAAATGAAAAAAGTATAGTGCCCGGAATATTAAAAGCATCAAATAAACAGCAAACACTATTGCTGAAAAATGTTTGATAACTCTGTTGAACAAATGATTCTATTTATCCAACGACAAATACTGAGTGCTTACAGAGTGCCAGGCCCTGTGCCAGGTGCTGGGTCAGTTGTAAGCAAGATAGTCATAGTCCCTTCCCTCATGGATCTTGCAGTATATTAGAGGAGACAAACAGGTAACAAGATACAGACAAAGAAATAAACCTGTTTCAAATGGTGGTAAGTGTTATACAGGAAACGAGGGTCTAAGAGATGGAACAACAAGGAGGAAGAATCTACTTTAGATATGGTCAGAAATTGTGGGATGCAGCTGAGCTGAGGCCTAATGGATGAGGAAGAACCAAGCAGAGGGCCCAGAACGTGTAAGCGCAAGAAGCAAGAATACTCAGGAAACAAAGGAATATGAAGCATCATGAAGGAAGAGGACAAGAACTTGAGATGGGTGAGAGAGGTGGCTAGGCAAGGCCTTGTAGGCTATGGAAAGGAAGGGGTGTGTGTGTGTGCGTGCGTGCGTGCGTGCGTGCGTGCGTGTGTGTGTGTGTTTAATTCTATTTTAAGTGCAGTGGGAAACCATTAAAATGTTTAAAAGTAGGAGACTGGCATGATCTGCTTATGAAGACCTTCTCTGGCTCCATGTAGAACTGAAATGAAGACAGTTTAGGAGGCTATTTTAGTTCTGAGAAGAAATACTGAGGTGACGGCATTGGAAAGACAGAGAAGTAGGCAGATGCCAGATATATTTTAGAAAGAGATCAATAGGAACTGTAACTTGCTGATGTGCTAGATGTGAGGGGTAATAAGAAGGGTGTTAGCAGGATGGCCCCGTTTCCAGCCTGAGAGGGAGGGACAGATGTGGGACGGGGACATCGGTACCCAGGGACAGACATTTCAGGTTTGAGTTGTCGGAAAGAGAAGAGTCTTGGGCTGAGGCTGCACAGGTGATGGCAGGCATAAAGATCATACTTCAATCCACGGGAATAGATGAATGACAGCCAGCTTATCAATCTTACTCCAATAAGTACTGGATCATCACCCTGACCACCATGTACAACCTCAGTGAAAACAGTTACTCTAGCCTAGCAGTTCTCAAAACTAAGAGTGCACCCGGTAGGCTTATTTAAATACACCTGGCTACTCCCAGGGATTCTGATTCAGGTCTCGGGAGAGGCTAGAAAATACCCACTTCTATTAAAGTGCCCTGGGGATGCAGACCCTGCTGGTCTGAGGACCTGGAGATCACTACTCTCCTAGAAATAGTAGACCTGGCCCTCAGTCCTAAATACACACTTACTGACTGTGAGTAAGTCGTTAAGTCCCCTGAGTTTAACAAAACTCATGTTACAAGGGTGTTAAGGACTACCATGGAAGGGGGTGCTGTGACTTCGCAATGAAATGATGGCTGCCAAGTGCCTTGCAGAACAGCATGATAACTACTCAGTAAGCGAGAGTTCCAATTCCATTTAAAGCACACAGAAGACAATTAATGTTGGCTGACGTGCACATTTTGTTTCTGATACAGAGTCGGAGAGAGAAAAGGTAATGTGAAGACACTCAAGAGAACTCATGCTGAAGGTCTGAGACGAGCCCCTTGAGCAGGGGGGTTCTGGGACAAGCTGCTTGAACTTCCCCAGCGGATGGGGCTGGCCCTGAATCCACCTACGGTGTGAATGCCCACCTCCTGGGCAACAGAGCTGTCCTCTGCATTGTTCAACCACAGGTTCTCAATTTCCAGAAAAGTTTCATGTAATTCTCATTTTTTCAATAAACATGATAAAGTGAGTATGTAGAAAAACTCAACTATTTCACCTTTGTAAGGCTTTATATAAATAAATTCATGTACCCTAACATTTGGCTTTGGGTTGCCTCCAGCCCCTCCTTGTGTCATCTTTCACAAATGACACTTCACTGAAATGTGGATGGTCATCCTCCCCAAAGAACCTGGCATCATTACCAGGCTCCATTCAGAGAAGGTGACAGAATTTTGAACTGGTGCTAGAGGTCTTTGGGAAAGGAGACCCTGGCACAGAAACAGGAGGGATAGATGGGAGAAGAGGCAGCAGTGAGGCCATCCCAGCTGGTGGCAGCCACACTATGAGGGTCAGTGCCCTCCCTGCTGGGCAGGCTGAGGGCCAGCACCCCTTACCTGGGACACATGGGGTAAGAGCAAGAAGAGGCAAAGTGCCAGGCCCACTCCGAGCAAGCTGCAAGCCTTACCTTCTCATAGGGACAGAACTTGTACGTTTTGATAGGGCTCGTGCAGATGAAGACATCAGTGCTGCGAGAAGAGGAAGGAGAGTGAGCCTTTGAGTCATATCCCTGTTGTTGTCCTGCCCTCCCACTCTGCGGCACTGGACCCTTTCAGAGTCTGAGCCCATCACCTGCAATAGGTAAACCCACTGCTCTCCATATCAGAGATGTCTACTCTGTCCCACTGCCCTGGGCAACCATGTGGGACTCCACCCCCCGGCGCATGCAACCAATTCAGGGGTAGGCATCTGACTTAAGGCTTTTATGCATGGCTAGGCCCAAAAGGTTAGCCGGGCTCATTAGATGCCCAGTCTGGGATCTGAAAGGGAAATACTAAGAAGTATTTACAACGAGAGAGGCATTAAAAGGATGCTGAGCAAGTCATTGAGGGAGAATTGGGGCCTCATGCAATGCAACATATAGAAACGCTAAGGACAAGTCTTCAGGTAAAGCATCCAGCTAAACCTCCTGGCAGGGAGCACAGCAAGGAGGAGCCCAGGTCCGCCTGGCTCAACATCCTGACACTGGGAGTCTCTCCAAGGCTGATGTGGCTTGCTGAGGAGTGCCCCTTCCCCGCAGTCTGAGTTTCTGTGCCGAGTCAGTGTGGGAGCTGACCCAGAAGGGCCTCCCAGGAGCCAGGTTCTCCCCACAACCCCAAGGGTCCCCAGTCACTAACAACAGAGCCACCCAAGCCCAAAATCCTCATAAAGTAGGCATCTGCCCCTGCAACCAACAACAGTTGGCTCATCAAACCAAGCCTGCAAAGACTGGATTTTCCTGACTCTTTTTCTCTTTGGCAAATCAGTCCTCTGGGAGTCATACATAAGACTGCCATGTACCTGGGGAGAAAGCATGTGCCTTCTAGTTACCCTGAGTCTCATCTCTCTCAGCACTGCTTCTGACAACCTGGCTGTCCGCTCCCACCTGCTGGGTCATTCCCTTGGATATGCAGCCTCTCCTTCGGGTTCTCTCACTTCCTGCCTGCACTGAAACCTGGTCTCACATGAAGAGTACACCTCCCGTGTGCCTCAGAGTGAAAGCTGTTTTGTCCTCATATCCCACGTGCTTCAGAGATGTGAAGTGATGAAAGTCTTCCTTGGTCTCCATTGCCACTTCCAGATCATTTCTCCTTCAAAATCCCTGACTCTGTGAAGCCCGTACCTACAGACACATCACTACTGCCCTTCCCGGCTGCTGTCACCTACCACTTGCCCAGTTACTGCCCTTCGTGTCTCCCCAATCTTACAGGATCACCATTGTCCCTCCGTCCCCACTCCTATCATCATCCTCAGTGACTGTAACATGGCACTGCACACCATGCACACATGCATGGACCCAACCCGTGGGGCTCTGAGGTCCTAACCTTGCTCTTCCACCCCATCTCCAACACCTCTCTTCCTGCTGTACCCTGCAGCTTATAATTACTTTTGCCAAAATCTCAATTTCATGTTTCTCCTCTGATCACCACTTACTAAACTTCCAGTAAACTTGTTCTAATATCTTCCACTCAATCCTTCAACCTCATCAAGACAGACAACCCACTGCGGCCCTCAACCAGTTGCCCAGCCTCGTCACCCAGCCTCTCTTGGGTTTCTGACCCTCTGTGGTTCCTCATCTATACTCCATGCTTAGTGATGTCACCCAGGCCTAGGGCTTTAAACACTGTCTACATACTGGTGCCCCCCAACTTTGCTTTCATGATCCAGCTCTCTCCTGTGTAAGAAAACCCACCCACTTTTCCCCTCGCAGCTTTCTATCCTGCGTGTCTCCTTTACTCTCACACTATTACCATACTCACGACACTTCTAACTCCAGATGTGTTACTCGACACCAACTAATGCTCTGAGATAGCAGCTGGCTGTGCTACAAATTTGACTCAATTATGACATTATCTACCTGGAGATAGTGTCAGATACCACAGGTTAAGGGCTCAGTCCCACATGAACTTCCTACTCTTGGGATTTTATGGAGGCTTCCTCACATAAGAATGATCAATTACCCCACTCCATTTCAAGGCCCTCTCCCCTCTCTGGAGAAGTAGAGGGTGGAGGCTGAAAATTCCAAGCTTCTAATCATGGCTTGGTCTTTCTGGTGACCAGTTCCCACCTAAGAGCCCACCCAGAGTCATCTCATTAGAACAAAAGATGCTCCTTGTCTTCTTATCACTTAGGAAATCACAAGGGTTTTAGAAGCTCTGTGCCAGGAACCAGGGGCAGAGACCAACGGATATATTTTCTATTTTCTCACATCTTCCCTGAATGCCAGGCTTACATCCTCAGGGGCCTATTAAATGTCTCCACTTGGACATCACACTGGCATTGCAGACTCGGCATTTCCAAAATGGAACAGATGATTGTCCTTACTTCCCCAAACCTGTCCTCCCCAGTAAATGGTACTATATATCTAATTGTTCTAGCAAAAAAAAAAAAAAACCCACCTTTTTTCCTAACTTTCCTCCACCCTCAATACCCATCACCAGGTCCTGTGGGTTGTCCCTCAAAAGCATGTTTCAATCCATCAACTGCTGTCTATGTTCATCATCCAGTCCAAAACACAGCCACCTCTCACTGCAAAATTCCAACTCTGGTTCTCCGACTTCCAATTCTGACCCCACTGAGCCATTCTCCACCCAGCATCTAGACTGATTATTTTGAAATAGCTTTACTGAGCTATAACTGACATGCATTAAACTACACATATTAAAAGGACATAGTACATTAAGGTTTGACATTTGGGAAACACAGACCACCATAATCAAGATAATAACACATCCGCCAACCCCAAAAGTTTCCTGGTATCCCTTTGTTATCTCTTCCTATCCCTACCCCACCTCCTGGGCTCCAGGCCACCATCTGTCGCCATAAATCAGACTGTATTTTCTAGAATTTTATATAAATGAAACCGTAGAATAAGTACTCTTTTTTGATTGGCTTTTTTCATCCAGTAACATTATTTTACAGATTTGTTCATGTTCCTAAATGTATCAATCGTTTGTTCAGTTTTAAAAAATTGAGTAGACTGATTTTGTAAAATCAGTTTCATTGAGATAATTCCCATACCATAAGAGCAGCCCATTTTAAGTGTATAATTCCATGAATTTTAGCGTATCTACAGTTTTACAACAATCACCTCTCAGATCACCTATTTCATGTCCGCGAAAAGAAACCCTGTATGCATCAGCGGTTCCTCCTCATTTTGCCCTTAGCCTTAGGAAACCACTAATCTACATATGTTGATTTGTCTATTCTAAATATTTCATATAAATGGAATCCGACAAAAGACCTGGTCTTTTGTGATTGGCTTCTTTCCTTCAGCATAATGTTTTCAAGTGCCATCCACATTGTAGAATGTATCAGTACTTCATGCCTCTTTATTGCTCAATATTATCCCATTGTACAGATATACCATATTTTGTTGACACATTTACCATTAATGCACATTTAGATTGTTTCCACCTGTGAGTAGCACTGCTAGGAACATTCATGCACAAGTTTCTCTGTGGACGTATGTGTTCATTACTCTTGAGTACATTCCCAGGAGCACAGTTGCTGGGTCCTATGGCAACTCCACATTCAACACTTTGAAGAAATATTTTCCAAAGTGTTTTCCACAACAGTGGCACCATTTTACAATCCTACCTGCAATGAGGAGGGTTCCAAAATTCTCTACATCCTCTCCAACACTTACAATCACCTCTTTTTTCTATTATAGTCATTCTAGTGGGTGTGAAGTAGTTTCTCATTGTGATTTTGATTTGCATTTTCCTATTGATTAATGATATCAAGGCAAATTTTCATGCACTTATTGGCCATTTGTATATCTTTAGAGAAATATCTACCCAAATTCATTGCCCTGAACCCAAGTTTTTAAAACCTAAGTTAGATCACATCATTCTCTTATCAGCCCCATTCTCTACCACTCCAACATTCCATCAACCCTCCACATTCACTTGATTCTAGCCACACTGGTCTCCTTTATTTTACTCCAATAAGCAAAGTCCTTGCCTGTCTCAGGGCCTTTACACATGCTCCTCTCTCGGCCAGAAGTGCCCCTGGCACTTCGCTAGCTAGTTCGTTCTTATCCTTCAGGTCTGAGGTCAAATGTTACCTCCTCGGAGACATCTATCCACCCCATCTGAAGTAGCTCCTTCCCCAATTACTCCCTAATACATCGCCTTGTTTATTTCCTTCACAAAGCTTACGATAATCTGAAATTATTTTGTTTACTTGTTTTCATCTTCCTCATTGTAAGGCTTTCCCCTTGAGGTCCAAAACCTTACATGTCTTATTTGCAAATACATCTTCAGTGCTCAAACAGTGCCAGGTACATGTTAAGTGATTTACAAAATATATGTTTAATGAACAAATGAATCACTTGCTTCCAGGCTCTACAATACAGTAATGAGAGCCATGTTTAACACAGGTTTAACCACATCTAGACTTGTCCTTCTAAATGAGTGGTGTTTCCTTCAAAAGTAGTCCCCTAGGAGGTGTACTGCTTAATACATATTTGGAGCTATATACAATATAATAACAACTATGGAAAAAACATAAAGGAAAGAAAATTCAAGCACTAACACCAAAATGGAAGAAAGTGGTGTTTTCAAAGTGGTGAGATTATAAACTTTTTATCTGATATTTTAATTTTCCAAAATTAACCATAAGCTATATATTTTTAAAGCAGATATTTTTCAACCTTCTCTTAGGGACCAACCTCAGGAACCACTCACAATCACATCAGAAATCACATCAGAATGTACTTTCTGGTAAAAGAAATCATGAATTTCTTTTATCCAACACACTTTGAAATCCATTATATTCTAAACACTAGGGAGATTCAGATATGACTCATTTATTTGCTAGCATTGACTCTAAATAAGTTTGGACACTTTTTACCCAAATTACCCCTTTAAAGGAGAATTCATATTGACTGAGGGCATTTTATGTGGAATACATTCTGTTAGTTGTTAGTTAGAGCAGGCAAAAAGGAGTCAGAGGGCTGGGTTTCCAACAGCCTCATGGGCCTGGAAGAGTTAGGGTTTTATTTTAGTGCCACAGGAAGCTACGAGTTTTAAGGGGAGACAAACAGCACCAGAATTGGGTTTAAAAATATCACTTTGGCTGCTAGGTGGAACATATAAATTTACAAATCTGTATACAAATACATATGTAAATACATTTTAAAAGGCCTGGAAGCACATACCTCAAATTGTTAACTAGGGCAAAAAGAATGAGATTGAGGGGGATGTATATAGGCAAGGGGAGGAGGGGAACAGGCAACTCAGTTTTTCACATATTTCACACTGTATGAGTTTTTCATAAGAATATACCCATATATTACTGAATAGTTTTAAAAAATTAGTAGCCATTGAAGATATTCCAAGCTGGCTCTTCAGGGTGGGAGGCCATGCCTAGAGAGGCACAGTCTTCCACTCAGTGCCACTGGAGTCAGGATGCATCATGCTAAGGAGGGTGTTTGAGTATAGTTGCTCAGGTGGGAGGTAAGGTCTTTGCTCTCACTGTTTCCCTCCCACCTGAAACCCCCTTACCTTCTCCACCTAGCAGGTTCTTTTTCAGTCTTCAAGATGACAGCTCAAGGATCACCGCCTCCCCTGGGAAGTATGAGCAGCTGCCTATCTGCACTCCCACTCTCCACTCACACATCTATTACAGCACTTGTAGAACTATGTTCTAGTCACCTGTTTACTAATGAACTCTTTGAAGGCAAGAACTATCTCTTATCTACTTTTGTATCTGCAGCACCTGGTATAAGGTCTAACATGGAACAGGCACTTGACAGATCTTCATTAAGATACATTTTAAACTATGGTCTCTGATTACTTTAGCACTAGACACACAATCATCTACTTAGTTACTGACTAGACCCTTTCCTCTCTTAGCCCAAACTTTGGGCACTGACTATTCAAGTTTTCTCTCCAGGGACGAATGCAAATCACAGATACACAATTTCAGCTAGGATACATTTGAAGAAAGCTGCATCCTCTGCTACCTGAATAAAGACTAACAATGCACATAAGCAAACAAACAGCTCTGAAAATTCCTACAGTAAAGAAACCTTAATTTGGTGTTTTCCAAATGGTTTTGGTTAAAGAATACTTTTCTTTTTGCATACCTATTAAATCTTGCAGAATAATAACAACAGCAGCTAACATTTATTGAGCACCTACTTGTGCCAGGCACTATACTGAGGACTTTCTCATTATCCTCATTTTACAGATAAACTGAGACCCAGAAAGTTTAATAACTTGCCCGACATCTAACAGTTAGATTTTGGAGAAGCCCAGATCTAAGCCACAATCTATCCAGCTCCCCAGAACACAGTCAGGTGAATGGTTCAGGAAATGCTGATCCAGACAAGAAAAGAGTTTCAAAAAGCTTCAGTGCAATACACATATTCTTGGCCTCTCCAGGCTTTTGCAATAGATGGAAGAAGTTATACAACACCATTTCACCATAAATCAAGTTCAAATAATAATCCAGCATAAAATATACTACTCTGCAAGACCTAGACTCAAATCTAAAGGTAAATTACCAACAAAACAAGTCTATGATACAACTCAAACTCTAAGCATTTTGTGTTTCTCTGATGCCTACTTATCATGTCAGAACTTTGAAAGTTGACTATTTTGGGAGGCATTTATATGGTACAATGAAGGCCAAATCATACCTTTATGTTTGATTTGTCATTCAGGTTGCTAAGCAAACTTCAAGCAAACTTGTGACCAATAAAAGTTATACAAGTCTAGAAATAAATGCTAACATCTATCATCAACTAATTTTTGACAAGGATGCCAAGATAATTCAATAGGGAAAAGAAAGTCTTTTTAACAAATGATTCTGGGACAACTGGACCTCTTCCTCACACCACATGCAAAAACTAAGTCAAATGACTTTAATGTAAAAGCTAAAACTATAAAACTCAGAAGAAAACATAGGAGCAAATCTTGGTGATCTTGGATTAGGCCAAAAATCCTTAGAAATTACACCAAAAATACAGTGACAAAAGAAAAAAAAATAGGTAAATTAAACTACATCAAAATAAAATCTGTGTTTCAAAAGGCACCATTAAGAAAGTAAAACAACAGTCTACAGAATGAAAGAATATATTTGCAAATCATATATTTGATAAAGGAGTTGTAATCTAGAATATATATGGAATTCTTACAAGTTAATTTAAAAAAGACAAATAACCCATAACAAATAAATAACAAATAATTAAGAAATGTAGTGAAGGACTAGAATAAACATTTCTCCAAAAAAGATATACAAATGGCAAATAAGCAAACAAAAAGATGTTTAACATCCTTAGCCATCAGAGAAATACAAATCAAAACCACAATAACACTCACACCGACGAAGATGGCGAGACTGTAAAAGACAATAACAAGTATTGATAAGGATGTGGAAAACTGGAACCCTCAATCATTAGTAGGGGTAATGTAAGATGGTGTAGTCACTTTGGAACACAGTTTGGCAGTTCTCAAATGTTAAACATAGATTCTCCATATGACCCAGTAATTCCACTCCTGGGTATATACCTAAGAGAAATGAAAATACACAATTACCAAAAAACTTATACATGAATGTTCATAGTAATATTATTCTTAAAATATTCTAAAGTATTCATCTAAAATGTAGAAACAACCCAAATGTCTATCAACTGATGAATGGCTGAACAAAATGTGGCATAATGCAATGGAATATTATTCAGCAATGAAAAAGAATGATCACAATATATACAACTATCAAATTATGTTATACACCTGAAATGAAAATGTTATATGTCAATTACACATCAATTTTTAAAAACAAAGTTACGTAGGGTTATGCAAATCAGAAAGCTATGTCTCAGCAGGAGAGAGAATTCTGTTTGGAAATGTCATGGTTCTCAATCTGAATGCCTCATTAAATACAGATTCCATTTTTAAAAAATTAAGTACTGATTTGTGCTGCAATGTGGATGAACCCTGGAAACTATGCTGAAGCCAGCACATACTGTCTGAAATGTGTATGAAATGTCCAGAATAGGCAAATCTAGAGACTTAAAGTAGACAGTGGTTGCCCAGGGCTGCAGAGGGCAGGCAGGCATGGGGAGGGACTGCTAATAGGTATAGGGTTTCTCTTGGGCTGATGAAATGTTCTGAAATTAACTATGGTGCCAGTTGCACAACTATGAATATCCTAAAAGCCATCCAATTGTACACTCTAACTCTAAATGGGTGTATGGTATGTGAATTATATCTCAAAAAGGCTGTTTCAATAAAGTTCTTAGAGGAGCATATCATCTGTAACTTCTAATGGATTCCAGTGGATAGTATACAGTGGTTGTGGAGTGGGGGCTTCAGTCCATGGAATCAATCATTTCACTAGAACAAAACAGAAACATCTCACGCAATACTCTCCCTGCTTCCTTACTACCCTTTTTCATTAGGGCTCCTTTTAGATCTCTTCATATGCCTTATTTTTTTTCTTTTCAGCACTTATCACAATCTGTGATTATCTTTACTTGTGTGATTCTTTGTTTAATGTCTGCTATCTGGTTGGACTGTAAGCTCCATGAAGGCAAGGACTGAGTTTTGTTTGTTTTTGTATCACTGGTGCCCAGCAGCATCTAACAGTCAGTTCTCAGATAGTTGCTGGATAAATAAACTTTCAACACCCAGTGAACCATGTCAAATCAGACTTAATATTTTCTCAAGTTACTGAATCAAAACATCTTAAGAGCCTGCAAGCAGTCTGTTTTATTCAGTTAGGTTTTTACCAAGTCCAGTGATGATGGAACAAGCATGGCCCTGTGCAGGGGTGAGGAGAGAGAAGTGAGGAGAGGTTGTGGGCAGAAGCAAAAAAGGGATGGCAAGAAGGTACAGACACTAGAGTGGAAAGACAAACTTACTTTTCTAGATTGGCCATCTGCTTCACAGCTTCCACAGCCCCTGGCAGAGGCTCAAGGTCAAAGAAGAAATTCTCCGACTCCCATATGCTGATGGCCTTCTCCTGAGAAGAGGAGAAGCAGGTGATTTCCTGGGTACTCAGCACCCAGCCTCAGGGCAAGGATAATATCACAGCTGGAAAGGGCTGCTGACAAGGAGAGGGGGGGGCTTCCACATTCCCCTATCCCCCTCCCACACACCATGGACATATTTCACGACAGGAGGGGGACCCTGTGGAGCTTGCCTATGCTCCAGTCCCTCCCCAAGAGAGATCTGATTTCTGCAAGGATCCAGCAGAGACCAGCTAAGATGTCAGGGGCTGTGGATTCTGAAGCCTGCTCTGCTAGAGGCACAGCTGGAGCCATCTGAGACCAATCATCATGAACCACATGTGTGCTTGATCCTAATGGCCAGAGGCATGCTGGAGGCCAAGGGTGGACCCGGTCTTGCCATAACATTAGAGTCCTTAAATTCAAGGGCTGGACAAACTCAGAGATCCTTAAGAGCACCACTGTGCCTTAGTGGGGTGGTGGCGGGTAGTCAGAGGGCCACTGGACAGAGCTCCAGGGTAAGAAATCGCTCTTTTATCTTTTATGCGTTGGGATGCCAATAAAAGCTTTGTTTAAAAGAAAGAATTCCGCTTTTTTGGCTTTCAGAGCCAAAATTCCAGACCCTCATTTTACATATGAGAAAACCAAAGCTCAGAGGGGAAGGGATTTACCTAATGTCACACATCAAAACGGTGGCTGAGCAGGGAGAACCCCATCTCTCAATCCCCAGGCTAGGAGTTTCAACTTTATGTAGCGAGCCAAAATCAAGTTTGCACAATGCCACATCTTTTCAGGGCCAGGACAATGGGAAAGTGACAACAGGAGGAGAAACAAACCCCAGCCTCTGAGAAGCAGGAACCTAAATCCCCTTTGCACTGTGCAGGAAGTGCCTCTGCCAGATCAGAAGCCTATATACTCCAGAACAAGCACCACCGCCACAGAAGATGAGTGTGTGGAATACACTGAGGTCACTCTGGCAATACTCTCGTGAACTAGAAGAGGCAAATGGGTTAAGCAAATGAGTGCTTATTGCTAACATGTTCTCTCTTTGACCCTCACATCCCACAAGGGGTAAGAATTGCTATACCCAATTTACAAATGAGAAAACTGATGCTCGCCAATGTTTTTTTTTTTCCAAAGCCACTTATGGGTGATACTGTCAGAACTTGAATTTGGAGCTTCTAACTCACATGGAGGCAATGTAGAGTGGTGGAAAACATGCTCAATGGAGGAGTTAGAAGTCTTGGCTCTTGCTATGTGATCCTGGACTAACCACCTCACCTTAATGATTAGCATCCCAGTGTTCCTTCCCTCCCTCTTTCACTTAACTTGCCCTAAAACCCTGGTCATGGCACTCTCTCTCTGGGCTCAGTTCCTCAACTGTCCTACCAGTGTGAGATTCTAAGCCCTTTCAAATGAGCTCTATTTCTGCCATGCTTACCTCTCAGGGTACTATGAAGATCAAAGGGAATATGGATAAAGTGTTATTTTGTAAAGTAGAAATGCCTCATATGTTAGCTGGGTTGGTGAGTTGGTTGTTTTTAACTACAGATGCTGGGCCAGCTGGCTCAAGGGGAGACCTAAGGATGTCCTACTGAGAGCTGTGCCGGTGATAAAGGGTATGTTTTCACCTATTAAAATCCCATTTTCTGCAATCCTCCTAGAAGCAGAGGAAATTGGATCAATCCGAGACTCTCCTTAGTGTCTCAGGAGCTCTGTTCTTTGCTTTGTACTTGGAAAATGGCAATTCATCTCCTTAGACCCGGAGTCTGCACAACTGTCCAAAAGACTGGAAAAGCTACTTTCCTTTTCAGTGGCAGGGGTAGGCTTAGTTTCATCACCCTAACACACTCCTGGGAAGAAATAAGGTGCCCAGATTGCCAATGCTGTACACTGTCTATAAGTGAGCACACACACGGAGCAGGGGGCCATGTTATTGAGGCTGAAAATGTTACTAGGGTATTTTCTCCAGTTTAAAGTTTTTAATTAGGCATCAGGACCGGGAGAAGTCAGCACACTGGTCTCTGGGAAGTCCCGGGTGTTTATGACCAAAAACGGCACTTAATTTCCTTTTTAACACCTGTTCCGCAACAAACCAAATTATTGTTGAGGTGCCTTTTGTAAGTCAAAAGAAATGTCAGAGAACAG